TCTCACTCTAGTGTATGTCTCACTCTAGTGTATGTCTCACTCTAGTGTATGTCTCACTCTAGTGTATGTCTCACTCTAGTGTATGTCTCACTCTAATGTATGTTTCACTCTCCCTTCAAAGATAAGGCATTCATCACTGTGAAACATCGAAATGAGCCAGTGATGGAGACCATAGCTGGAAAGCGCTCCTATCGGCTGTCTACGAAAGTGAGGGCTTTTCCATCCCCTAAAGTTGTATGGTAAGACCCTACTCACTTTTTCTCAGTTTGAGATATGCTTGTAAGCAGAAAGATGCCAGAGCCCAGTGACTTGACTTACTGGGAAAAAAAATACTTCAGGTTCCCCAGACTGTGAGCGGAGAACCGTACTGATTTCTGGGATGGGGGAGGAGGGTGGGGAAGGGTGCAGGGAACAATTGAAGAGAATGGAGCAAGGGATTTGGTTTCCTAGAGTGTTGGTCAGTTAGCTTAGTCTCTCACTGTGACTTAATCCGGTCATCTCTCAACCTTGCTAGATGCCAACAGCCTTGAATGAGATGGGAACCGGCAATGACTAGGACTCATCTCCTCCAATATGTGCCAGGCTCTTTTAACCCTAAAGATGAGGCTCTTGGAATGGGGTCACTGGAAGTAACTCTTTTATGTGCAGCTGGGTGGAAAGTTCTAGTCTTATTTTCAAATGAAAGAATCTTTCAGAGATGTTGTTGTTAAGTGCCTTTAAGTCGGTTCCAACTCTTAGTGACCCTGTATAGGGTTTCCGAGGAGCGGCTGGTGAATTTGAACCTCTGACCTTGTGGTTCAAACCAACCTTATGGTTGAGTGCTTATCCTAGAGCTCTACAAGACTTATTCAGTTGCAGGGCACCTGCTTAAACTGATTTTTTTTGGCTCAAAGGTTGCATATTCACAAATGCCTTTAAGCATTTTTCAAAATACCAGTGCAACACCTTGATATAAAACAATGTAATCTGTTTATAATCTGCAGTCATTTTGTTCAATCGCTTTTAAATACTAATATGTTTGGCTCAAGTTGTTACATTTTGAACAAAGAGTCTAGTACAAAACTGATTAGGGAAACAAACCATACAATATGGAAATGGTACCCATTATAGGATCCCTGCTATCAGAACTTATTTTTCTTTCAATATCATGACTGTAGTCTTTGTTTCCATTTCCTTAAATCTAAGAGAGAATTAAGATCTGCACTACACGCTCCATGCCCCCTCAGCAGAAAAGGTGGTGGTGGTGTGCCGTGGAGTCGATTCCGACTCATAGCGACCCTGCATGAGGTTTCTGAGGCTGTAAATCTTTACAGAGCAGAAAGCCCCATCTTCCTCCGGCGAAACAGCTGGTAGTTTAGAACTGCTACCCTTGAGGTTAAGGAGCTCTGGTAGCGTAGTGGTTACAAATCGGGCTGCTAACCTCAGGGTCAGCAGTTGGAAACTACCAGCTGTCCCGTGGGAGAAAGATGAGGCTTTCTGCTCCGTAAAGATTTACAGCCTTGGAAACCCTATACAGGGTCACTATGAGTTGGAACTGACTCCACAGCACATAACAACAACAACAACAACCCTTGAGGTTAGCAGCCTAACTTGTAACCAGTACGCTACCAGAACTCCTTCAGTAGAAAAGGGGCTATCTATAAAGTTGATAGTAAATTTCCTATGACTGTGCATTATTCTTTTTGTATAGGGGCTATTTTTCTCTTTCAGCATCTGAGTACCCCATCTATTACACATTTACTGAGTAATTATATAGCAAGAGCCTACTAAACAAAAACAAAAATTCAGTACATCTTTGTAAATGCTGATTTGGTTATGTTGTTATTGTTGAAGCAGTTCTGACCCATACTGACCCTGTCTGGGGTTTCCATGGAGTGGCTGGTGGGTTTAAACCACCCACTTTGTTGTTCGCAGTCTAGTGCTGATGTACAGCATGACTTCAAGACTTGGTTATAGGAAATACTTTTCAGGAAGGTGAACATGATTTTATAATCACAATATAGAAGCTTGATCATTTTAACTGCTTTTGGGACTGGAGACCCAGTGGTAATTCAAGATTCCTTGAATCTGTTTAGAATGTAATTGTGTTCTATAGGAAAGGTTTGATACAGTTTGCATGTTGTTGTTAAGTGCTGTCAAGGCAGTGCCAACTCATAGCAACCCTGTGGAGGGCTTCCGAGGCTGTAAATCTTTGTGTAAGTAGAAAAGCCATACCTTTTTTTTTTTTTTTTTAGTGTATGTCTCACTCTACCATACCTTTTTTTTTTTTTTAAATAAAGCACAATACATTCTTAACTGTTTCAAAGAACCACTCTTTAAAAACAACAACAACAACAACAAAACTGAGCATCTCAATCAAATCATAGAATTTTAGAGTTCATGGGGTCTTTGTGAGATGCTCTAAAAAATCTGGGGAAACTGAAGCATAAATGCAGGTACTGTATCATATTGTTCCTAACAAAACTAGGTTTTGAGCCCAGGCCCCTTCACTCTGAGTTCTGTATGTAACTGAATGATACTTACGCGCTGCTTCTATTTTTAGATTAAAACAAACCAACCAACAGTGTCTTTAATGAGTGTATACTTTTTGTTTGTGAGCTTTGTGTCTACACTGTTCTTTCTCAGGGGGAAAAAACCCGTGATAACTCTTGATTTCACTGTGATTTATGAAAGAGACCAGCGGTGTGGCCATTTATAGAACTAATAAGAACTCCACATGAGATCACAATAGGAAGGTTTATTTTTATTTTTATCTGGAGAAGTGATCTAGTTGATCTGACGTACAATGGCCCTGGCTGATGGATTCTCATGGAAAACTCTGGAAACTATCTTGGGAAGAATCAGACCTGGTACCTCTGGGTTAACACTTAACCTCACAATGACTACCAGTGGCTGTGAAGCCACCACTTTCCTTCCCTCCCCCCTCAGTTTACTTCTTCCCCTTTGCCAATAAATACAAACGAGTCCTCCGTCAGAGAGCTTATATACCTGCCAGCACTTAAGATGTTAAAGCCCACGTTGAGGGTCAGAGATCTGAGAAGTCTACACTTGGGTTCACAACACAAGTTCACTGGCAGGATTTTCAAAGAGATCTCTGACAGGCAACACCAGGTGACTGACCATTCTCTCTCCCAAAGGTTGAAAGATGGGTTTCCTGCCACTGAGAAATCTGCCCGCTACCTGGTTCGTGGCTATTCATTAATTATCAAGGACGTTACTGCAGAAGACGCAGGAAATTACACCATCTTGCTGAGCCTAAAGCAGTTCAACGTGTTTAAAAATCTTACCACCACACTCATCGTCAATGGTAGGTTTCTTCTGTGTTCTTGCTTCTGGTTCTGGGGACGGGGTACAGCAGGCTGGGGTGTGAATGGAAATGTGTACATTTAAAAGTCGATGTGACAATATTAAAGGCAACAATTTTTTTTTTAATAAATAAGATACTTTGAGATGAATGCCATTCTTTTCATACCACAGCAATAATGAGGAGATGACGCCTATATCTTCTCTGTCTCCATGCAGGGATTAGAAATGACAAAATGGATTTCAGACTGTTTAAAATCCCATGTGACAACCTGACCTTAAATCCATTATTCTCCCTGAAGGGTTTGTGTGAAAACAATGCACAAAAAATTATGTGAATATTCTCACTTTGTACACCCAATGACTCTCATTCTTACTTCCTGAAACACTTTACCTACAGAAAGCATGTTGCGGAAGTTTCCAGAAAAACCTTACATACGTAGTTAAAAAAAAAAAAAAAAATTGATATGTATATTAACTCTGTGTGGTTTGAAGGAGCCCTGGTAGCACAATAGTTAAAGCACTAGCTACGAAACAAAAAGTTGGTGGTTCAAATCCACCCACTTCTCTGAGGGAAAACAATGCTCTCATAAAGGTTTAGTCTCGGAAACCCTGTGGGGCAGTTCTCTTCTGTCCTGTGAGTTAGAATTCAGCCAACAGCAGTGGGTTTGGTTTGGTTTTTTATGAGGAACACTGAAGCCGGCCATTTTACAGATAAGAAAACTAAGTTCTAGACTTTTGAAAGCAATGATGTTGAAAATCTTTTTTGGTTGCCATTGGGAAAGAAAAAAAAAAAATTATGTGATTGCTTTAAAAATGAATTGTATTCCACCATAATGATTTTCAAGGAGCTCTGGTAGCGTAGTGGTTACGAATTGGGCTGCAAACTGCAAGTTCGGCAGTTCAAAACTACCAGCTGTTCCGTGGGAGAAGATGCGGCTTTCTGCTCCCGTAAAGATTTACAGCCTCGGAAACCCTGTACGGGGTCGCTATGAGTCAGAACCAACTCCATGGCACATAACAACAAAAATAATGATTTTCTGTTTGCTTGTTACCTCCCCCGCACAAAACAAATCCAGTGCCATCGAGTCAATTTTGACTCACAGCAAACCTATAGAACATAGTAGAACCGCTCCTTGGGGTTTTCCAAGGCTGCAAAACTTTATGGGAGCAGAAAGCCTCATCGGTCTCCTGTGGAACACCTGGTGGGTTTGAACCACCAACTTTGTAGTTAGCAGCCCAACGCTTAGCCTGCTGCATCACCAGGGATCCTTTACCTTCCGGAGTCTGCATGCTCTTTCTTAATTGGAATCCTAATGGACGTATCATGAGACCATATTTATAACGTCCTCTGAGGACACGTCACCTCCTCTTTTTTGGTTGGCGTTTCCTTGACAAATACAAGGGGCACTTTGTTATCTGCTCTTGTATTTTACTTCCCTGACGTTCTCGGGACCACTGAGATTGTGCTTCTGCCTTTTGGGGCCTGAGAGGAACACACTAGAACTGCTCTTGACTTCAGTCTTGGTCTCCATCTCCTTTGCAGTGAAACCCCAGATCTATGAAAAAGCTGTGTCACCGGTATCAGAACTTACTCTCTACCCGCTGGGCAGCAGGCAGGTCCTCACTTGCACCGTTCATGGAGTCCCACAACCTACAGTCCAGTGGTTCTGGCAGCCCTGCCTTCACAACACTTCCAGAGAAAGGTAGGGGCCACTCTGTCTTGATCAACTTTTGGAGACTTTTTGGCACCTGGGATCATAATCCCTCAATGGGCGGAGACAAAACTGGCAGGGTGTTTGTTTCTGGCTGGCAGTGTGTTCAGGGTGGAGGTCTTCAGTGCAGTAGTCACATGCCTCCCTTTCCTTGGCTCACCACTTCATCATGAGTTCTCTTTAGTGTGTACAGGACCAAGGTCCTCTATGAGTTGTGATCTAAGATTGACCGGACTGGTCTCTTTGTTTGCCAATTCGGGAACCATGCTTTTGAGAACTACATTCATTGGACTAGATCTTCCAAATACTGATTATTGTCACCACCATTCATGCTGTTGGGTTTTGCTCTTGCTCTTCCACCATTTAAAATGCTCTTCTACCCTTTTTTTGTTTCTTCCTTCTCCAGGGGCTCAGCTCACAGATTTTCTGTGAAGCTTGGCCATCTCACTCCAATTCTTCTTCCTTCTCCAGGGGCTCAGCTCACAGATTTTCTGTGAAGCTTGGCCATCTCACTCCAATTCCTCTCCCTTCTCAGCGTGAACTACAGCGCTTTATCCATCCCAGGATGGAGTCAACAGCGGTGAATGTGTTGCCTTCTTCCCCTGATTGGGAGCCCTGGTGTGGCTCTGTAAGATCCGCACTGGATTGCAAGACCAGCGGTTCAAATCCACCTTCCACTCCTGGGAAACCCTATACAGGGTCGTTATGGGAACCCTGTACAGGGTTGTTATGAGTCGTAACTGACTCAACGACACTTAACAACAACGTGCTTTGACTGAGATCACCTGTGTCCCTTCAGTGCTTACCTGGCCCACAATAGATGCTCCATGTGCATTTGATGGACACATTGAGTGAATGAACCCCTGGCTACCTTCCGTCGGCTGTGCAGCAGGCTCTCGCATCCTGTTGATGACTAAGACCTATTTGTGTCTTCCTCCTTCTTGTTTAGTCTAGAGGGATGATACTAAGGAAAGCTCCTGGGAGCTCACTGGAAGAACAGAAATAGAACTGACAGGTACAAAAAGAAGACAACCCAAGAATTCTCATTATGCCAGAAGAGTTTCTTTTTTTCCTGCTCTTATCTCTGTTCTCAAAAACTTGTCAGATAGTTGCTATTAACAAAGCTTACACATTACACACACACATAAAACCAAGCTTGATAGAAAAACAAACTAGACATAGCTCCAGCATAAACATATGTTGTTGTTGTTAGGTGCATAAACATACAGAAGTGGCTATTATTTGATTTCCTCCCACAATTCCAACTTGTGTTGTTGTCTTTTGTTTAAGGCTAGTTTTCTCAGAAAGTGGAACTTTACTGGTGGGATTCAGCATTCCTGAGGAGCAGTTGTTGCCACACGCATCTGATTTCTCATTTGAGTGCCATTTTCTAAAAATACAAGCATGGTTGCATGTCTTGAATATCTTCTCCACTATTGTGGATCTTTAGCCCAAACGAGCATGAAATCCTATTGCAATTTCTCATTTGTCTGCTGATTTGGGAGGACATTCCAACTTGTAAATGCCTCCCTTTAAAACTTGGATGTTTGTGCTAATCTAACAAGCAAATCAACAAAAATGAATGAAATCAATACACAAATGAAGCATTTGAGAAGATAGATGGAACCTTTTTGCTCATTAGGAAGCAAATGGATAGCTTCTGATCTGTCTAGTTCAACCTTGTCAAAGGTATAAAAGCTAACATTGACACATAAATGAAGTCCTCTTTCTTTAATTACTAAGTTTTAAAACTAAAGTTTATACAGGTAGAGTTTTATGCACTTAGCTAAGTGCGGTAGCTCCATATGGTAAGCACTAGACTGCGAACCGCTAGGTCCGAGGTTGGAGCCCACCAGCCACTCCATGAGAGAACGATGAGGCTTTCAGCTCCCACGAAGGTTTAAAGCCTCAGAAACCCCACACGTGGTTGATATGAGTTGGAACTAAGTCGACAGCGTTCAATAGCCGCAAAGCTGAAAACTTAGTTCAGTCAGTGACTTGAACCCACCAGCGGATAAGGCAGTTCTGTTTCCAAAAAGATTCACACAGCCTCGGAAGCCCTGTGAGGCTGTCTGCGTTTTCCTGTAGGGTGTTGAAGAGTCATTGGATTTTAACATTTGAATAAGGGATGTCCTATCACACAGATTTAAAAAATCTTATTTATTTTGAGTTACATAGTAACATAACTGCAATGTATTACCTATGTATGGTCGTCAGAACAAATTAAATGATTAATAGATACATTCATCTATTAACGGCACTGTAGGGTCAGCTCTGAACTGCAAGCCACAAGTTCAGCAGTTCAAACCCACCAGCTGCTCTTCAGAAACCCTGTACAGGGTTGCTATGAGTTGGCAAAGACTCAACGGCACTTAACAACAACAGGTACACGTTACTCTTAAATACAAGATATAGACTAATTCTTGGTATTTAAATTTTAGACTCCCCACCAGCTACAGGACGGTATCTCTATCTGGGCACAACCAAAGCATGAGTTTCGTTTTGAGTCTAAAATGTATGTGAGTTTAAGTAACTAAAAATTATTAATTGGTTTAATATGACTAACTGACTAATGTATCTCAGTTACATAGAGATTTAAATTGTATAATTTCTTGGCGTCCACAAAGATTTACAGTCTCGGAAACCCTATGCAGGGTCACTATAAGTTAGAACCGACTTGACTTCACTTAACTATCACCACAACAATTAAATATGGAAATATACTGAAAAACTATCAGAACGATTATGCAATCATTTCATCTTTACAGATATTAAGAATGTTAAATAAATTGACCAGAAATGTCCTCCTTTTTTAAAAAAAAAGTGGTAAAATGCATCAAGTGAGTTATGCTTTGAATGATGTGAGTTTTGTTTTTCCTAGAATCTGTTCTTATAAAATATTAATCAAAGAAAGTAGGCAGGGGACAAGATGGGTTTTTCAAAACTCACATAGCTGATGAACTGAGAAGAAATAAAAAAGCATTCCTCCCGTTTTTTTTCCCTGTGGATTTGGGTGGTCCAGTGGTCATGGAATTAGGATATTTCTTTTGAGTGCTTTATGCCATTAAAATACCTTTTCAATACTGAATGAGGTGGGATTTTGGATTTTTCTTATCCTTAGCAATGGATTAAAACCCAAAACTAACCCTATTGCCATCAAGTTGATTCCCACACATGGTGACCCTAAGATAGATTACAAGTGACCCATGAGGTTTCTGAGGTTGTAAATCACTACGGAAGCAGACAGCCTCATCTTTCGCCCACAGTTCCATCTGAGATGACAACCATAAAAGTTCTGCTTTGTCCTGTAGAGCCACCGTGACTTGGAATTCACTCGATGGTGAAGGATTTGGAATTTTCTTACATTATTATTGGCATTTTCTAAATAAGGTCCCAGAAAAGACAGGGACGCGAAAAGATGTTTCCGTTTTCTTGTTTCACACCAGTGAGAAATTTTACCAAATGTTTCTGAGAAATGAAACCAAGTTGTGCATTTCGAAGGAAAATGCAATTTTGCTGTACTTGAGAAATAGAAATTTAGTGGGCGGGGATGGGTGAGGGAGGGAGGCTGCCGAATTTAGAAGACTATAACTTATGGTATTTCCAGTGAAGGCAAATTAAGGAAATCTACAAGAGTTGGGCAAATGTAAAAGGTAGAATAAAGACAGCAAGTGTCTTGGTTTGTGGCTTGTCCACTCGTTGATGTTCCTGTCGTGGGAGGAAGAGGCCTGACCTGGAGGGTTGGCCATGGCTGGGCTACAGGGAATTGGTTCCTACTCAGCAAGACCACAGACATGTAGACTCCCTATGCCCCCTCCATAGTGAAGACTTGAGTTACACGACTGAAATCCCCATGCAGTGAGCTACTCTCACCCTCATAGTTTGTTGCTATTTTTACTATGACACTTCAGCTGGAATTTGTATAAATGAGATTAACATTAGAATCAACATGAAGTCTTTTGTCAGATAGGTAACAATATCATGTATTTACCAAGAGCTTTCACTAAATACTTGATCTATTTAGTTTGTTGTACTAAGCTGAGTAAATGAGTTGAAAGTCTGAAGTATTTTTTCCCTCTTTAAAAAAATTATTTTTTATTTTGAGTTGAGTGATAGTTTACATGGGAGAACATCGGCTTCATACCATTGTTTCATTGCAATGATTACAATCTCCTCCGTGCATCCTCATTCAACAGTATTTGCTTCCATTCACTCTGGGTTTCTTTTAGGAGGGTGGGGTAGTCTGGGGAGATGTACACAAAAACACTCAGGGATATATTTCTTGACTGGGCTTTGCCACAGCACACAGGTAGGCCCATGAAGAATAGCCCCACAGGGTGTGGTGCTGTGGGGTAAAGCTCTGAACCAAAAGGTCGCGTTGAACAACTAGGTCAGCAGTTCAAACTCACCAGTTGCTCCTCGGAAACCTCTCATACAGGATCGTGTGAGTGGGAACCAACTCAGTGGCACTTAACAACGACAATCTTTATAGAAGCGATGGCCAGATCTTTCTCCCCAGGAACCTCTGAGTGAGTTTGAACTGCCAACCTTTCATTTAACAGAGCTGAGCACTTAACTGCTGCATCACCACAGCTCCTTTACAGTCTCATACCAACACCCATTGTCTTCAAGTCTATTCTGACTCGTAGCCCACCCTGTAGGGCAGAGTAGGACAACAACCCCCCCAGAGTTTCCAAGGTGTAATCTTTAGGGGAGCAGACGGCCAAGTCTTTCTCCCACAAAGAGGCTGGTCAGTTCAAACCACTCACCTTTGGTTAGCAGCCGAGTGCTTTAATCACTGAGCTACCAGGAGTCCCTAACCATTTGTTGTTATTGTTGTTAAGTGCTGTTGAGTTGGTTCTGATCCATCATAGCCACCCTGTATAGGGTTTCTGAGGAGTGGCCAGTGGGTTTGAACCACTGACCTCACAGTTCAAACCAACCTTGCAGTCCAGTGCTTAATCTTATGGTTGATTGGTTACGTTCTGTAT